TGCTGCCATAGTGCCACATGTAATCTATAATGGGCTTTGGATACATGCCAACTGTTGTTATTATTAGGTGGGTATTACTATATCCATAAGGAGCTAGACTCGTTGTGTCTCAGCTTGGTTAGTGGATTTGTCCTGGCTTTCAGCAGCACTTTGTCTGCAGGTTAATTTCCTCCCTGTTAACAAGGGTATCAACTTCATTTGTAGGGAAAGTGACTGTGATTGTGGTACTCAACACTGCCATCGCCATCTATCATGTTATTGCTTATTCATGAGAAAGCCTTGTATGTTGTGTACTGAACCCTAAGTGGTAAACTGAGATGAATGGATTTATGCATTTTGATAGGACACAGTAGTGGACCCAAGGGTTTCCTGTTAGTTCACCACCTGGTCTTAGATGTTGTCCACATATTGATGGTTAATAGTGTTTATACCGATACAATCATTAGCTGCCTGCTGTTGGACCTGCTGTTCTCACATCTGTCTTTCTGCTATGTATAGGGTGCTCATGTGCTATCAGAAATCACTGCTATGTGACCCTGAAATGCTCAGTTGAGCCTGCCATATGGTCACACTGTATCACATGATGACCATTTATTTATATCTCAGCAATTGGGTGTGTGCTGGTCAAGGTAGCAGAAGTGCTGATCAACGATCTAGTGAGAGACATCATGTATCAGACTGTGAGAGAGTGAAGGGACAGCTGGCAAAATTGTCTTTTGGCATGCCAGTAAACAATAATACACATTTAGTTGGTCCCATTTGGGTTCAAAATTAGTCAAATGTGAAACCTCAAAAGTAAGAATCATAATGCATCTTAATAATGATACCTTTCCCCTCTGTATTGCCACATTTACTTTAGCAAGACTTAGTTATTGACATCCAACCTTAGGAGGAAGTATGGCTTATTATATTAACTTCGGATCTATTACCTCTACAACTCACATTATCTTGTTACTCTAGTCTAAAATATGCCGTAATGAAGAAAATGTGTCCTTCTTGGAAACTTGCCAAAGGGTTACATATTTGATATCATCAATATTTATTTTGCTTCAACTTCAAGGAGAAACGTTATGTGATTTTACATGTTCATTTTAATGGCTAAAATATAATATAATATGACACAGCTTGTATATTATCTAATTGTGGTCCACTTTTCAAGTGTTTTAATTTAGATGGAAGGAAAATCCAGAAAGATTGTCTTAGTCAATCTTGAAATAAGGAACTTTTACATCAACTTGAGAACCATAAGCTGTCGCAACAGTGTGTGGGATCAGAATTCACTGTGTTGAACCATTGTGGACATGTATTGCAGCTCTGTAGTTTTGGTCCAACCACAGAATGACAAAATAGTGTAGAATCAGAAAAAGCCATTTGTTGATAGTCATTTATTATTTTATTTTATGAGAACAAACCTACCATGTCTAGAATTCAGCATGTGATCCATGAAATTAGTTAATTTGTGTTTGGTTCTTCCGTTTTATTATTGTTCCTAAACTTAATGTATTAATTTCTGTGAATGGATCCATTAGGCTCATTTACTGTCAGTCGACTGAGACGTATAAGAAGAAATGATCCTTTTGGAACATGCTGCCTCAAAAATGTGATTGACACCTCCATGACTGTTCATTACTTCACTGCATCTTTTGAAAACTTGTACAGTAGTTAAGTTCACGTTATAAATACCATTAAAGTTTGTTTTTTAGAAAGGTTAGATATATGTATAGCATTTCTTTCTGTATCTTTGATTAATAAAGTGTCCAGTCATTCATTGCCAGTGCATTTCAAAGTCAACCGGGATGGTGTAAAAAGCCCAAAAAAGGCATTCTTTGTGCTTTGAGTGCAGTGAGAAGCTCCTTTTTCTGCACTATGACTTGTGCATTTTGTTACGAGTTCAAGAGAGTCATTAAAGGAGACATTATTCGGCACTGAGACATATTCTTGGTCTGAATATCTTTTTTAATTTTTAACCAAAACAATGCCCTCATGTATTGTCTATTCATCTGTCATCCCCCATCGTAGCCACAAGCCAGCTGCAAAGAATAAAAATGGAATGGTGACCTTGCTGTTTGGCAAACCTATATGGCATGTGTAATGTGAGCAGTGCATAACTTTGAGATGAGGTCATTTAATTGTTCTAAGTGTAGGGTTAACTCGGCCCGCCCCATAGCTGACTAGCATTTTGCTAGCTCCCTTTTTATGGGCATATTTTGATGAGCTTGTCGAGCTTTGCACATACATTTGGTCAACTTACTTCTTATCACACCAAAAATCAATCCCAGAACATAGTCAGTGTCCCGTTTTCAATTGGTAGAAAAAGAAGGAAAGTTAAGCTTCATATTTCATTTCAACTAAGGTCTTTGAGTGAAGACAAGCATTTTATTATCTTTTGTAAAGAACCTCTTTCTGAAGGTTGCCTCTATCAATCAAACTTTTTGTTTTACAATGTTTACACGGTTCAAATTAAAGCCATTTCTAAAGTAGCCATAAATCCTTTTTTTGTTTTGATCTGTACTGCAAGGATGCGTGGTAAATCAGAGGAAGCACCTCATTCTATCCAGAAACAAAGCCACGCCACAGTGTATATACAAACACTGTTTTGCCTACTGCTCCCTCCTGGGCAGTCTGCTGCATGAGTGAATTCAAAACACTCAGCGAAGTCCAGACTGTGCTTTTACAAACCCATGGAACGCGAATGATTATGTTTGTGTGTTTAAGATAAGTAGACTAAATATTATTTGTAACTACACTAAACTTATTACTGCTGATGAACAAATACACTCAATGTGTGGCAAGCAAATGCGGTTGATAAGCTCAGTGGAATCAGTTATTTTCACATTGAGGCATGTTTCACTCATTTGGGCAGGTTTCGCATCAACTGGATTTCAAGAATGTATTAAAATGATAAAGTATACAGGAAGGAAACATGTGCACGCAAAATCTATTGATTCATTAGAAATACGATCTCAATTGTAAGTTTATTTGCTCCTGTACCAAACAAGCAAGCACTCAAGGAGAGGGAGTGTCCCATTGAGACCTGCACAGTAACATAGTTTAACCAGTGTTGACTCCTTTCCCTCCGACCAATGCAATCATCCCACCTGGCTTCATGACTCTCCTCCTAAACTGGGCTGGTTGTTAGGCGACTTCTGCATCTGCAGGCATAGTGTGGGTCTGTGAAAGGTGACCACCAAATGTGTTCATTATGTGAAAGCTCTGGTTGCATATGAATGGGCTCCTGGCAGGTTGAACACGCACTCAGTAGACTCGCATCATGCACACATCTCCAGTGTGAAAGGAGTAATAGTCAGAGCTGAGGTCATGTCGGTTTGCCAGTCAATCTGTAATGCATCCATGCACAAAGACTCTCTCTCTTCACACCACGAACAAAGCACAACAGACACAGATGGAGCGTGTTTGTGAGGGTCATGCATACTTTGCTGTTTACTTCAAGGCCACAATACATATTATCTTAATGGCCACTGTCCAAGACAGACTGGTTTATTGGAATATCTTTGCTCGTTATGCTATTTTAAAAGTTGGGAAAAAGAATTGTCAAGGTTTGTTTGATTTAAGTAAACTACAGTACTGTAGCCCTTTGTGTGATTTTGTGTTGTCACTGCCTCGACAGCGTCGTTGACATCACAAGTGCGAGATCATGTGTCTTGTCAGTTTTACCGTTCTGCTGGTGCTAAGTCATGGCTGAGTATCAGGTGACTACTACACAAGCTGGGTGCTGCCGATGCACAGCTTAAATATCCATGTCAGGGTGTTGATGGGCTGCTGTTTCTTAGCAACCAGACTGCTTAATCAAGTGTTTATCTGCCACCGAATACAGTTTTTTCCACTGCAGCGGCAGTGGTTGGTTATACTCTTGTAGGAATCAGTTCTCCATCAAATATTAAGGAATGTCTCTGTGGGTCTTATTACATTAAATTGCATGGGAGGCTAATTTAGTTTATCATAGGATAGACCGTGTTATGTAACTGTCTGAAGAAGTATCTTTTGTATTAAATGGGAGAAAAAATAAAACTTGGATTATGAGACCCAGGTTTGCTTTCAGTCAAATCAAAGGAAAGCTCTGGACAATTTTTGAAAATAAACAACAACCACAAACCTCTGTGAAATATAGAAGTATTTTGGTTATGACCACCACAATTACTGAGAACAAAATACATTACGTTTGACACAATTACATTTTTTTCGGCAAAGATAAAGACTGTATTCAAAACGAGAAGTTGGGTCTTTTTGAATTGAGTTCAGGGCCGTCTGAGCATTTGTGGAGCCAGTGGCCAGCTGCACTGGCTTCAGTTTCTGGCCTATGATAATAATAATCTAGGCTCTGTGTTCAAGGGGTTTAACTTGTGTGCATACCATCTCAAGTTACTGACAGCAATAGAAGATAGTTCTATTTTTAAAAATGGTGAATTGATTTGCCATAAGGTTTGTGCATTTCAATGGCCTCCAATTTCTGATCCGGCTTATGTAGGGCTGGGAAAAATCTTATATGATACTTTTATAGTCTTTTCATGAAATCATAAAGGTTTAATCATATTTTATAATGTATTGATGCACTGTAATGTTGCCTTTATTGATGATATCAAGCACGTATTAACTCAAATGCCTTAAAGAATCTGATCGGAAGTTTTTACAGTATTCTATTCACACAGAAATATACAAAAATAAAAAGCTTACCTTGTGGTAATGTCACTATTTGTTTTTTGAATTACCAGAAAACATGCAATGTTGTTATATTTGTTGCAATCCTAATATAAATTAACCTATTTGTTTAATACAATTTTGGCCATATCACCCATCATTAAGGCAGAGCTTCTGAACTCTGAGCCAACAGACATTTGTGAAGAGTTGGCAACCTTTTTTAGTTACACGATCCTGTAACAAACTATTTAATATCTGTTTCAGAACCTAATGTGTCTCTTCCTGCTCATTCTTTATCACAGAGTCGGTATATGACCTCCTCCCCAAAGAGCTCCAGCTCCAGCCGTCGTCCACCCAGACAGACCCACCCACCATGAGCCAACAAAGTGGGGGAGAGGCGGGATCTCCCCCCTCTGCAGCCGTGGCTTCAGGTGAGCTACCTGCTTAGTCCATGAAAACCATTATCCGGGGTCAGTTTCCCCTCGCCAAACTACCCCCAAGACAGAAGGGGGAGAAAGTAGAATGTCTTTTATCAGTTTCTGGGGGCAACTTCACCCTTTCACCAGTTTCTGAAATAAAAACTGTTGTGCCTATTTAATATATTATATGAACTTGTATAGTTATATTTAGCTACGGTATTTTAATACTGAAATAATCTCGATTTTTACTTTGGTACATTATGGCTTTCGTCTGATTCAAAATGTTACTGTGCTTCACATCAGGGGTCAGTGTTTACCCTGATTTGAAAGTGGGACTTTTAAAAAAAAAAATAGGATTATCAATTCCTCTATTATAAAGCAAACCCCAATTAGTGAATTTGTTTTGTATAATATCTGAGTACCTTCTGTCTGTTGGCTTGTTTGACATGGGGCTGTTAGGTACTTTCTTAATATCCGAGCAGCATCTTTGAATTTGTGTTGGGGCTATTCAGCTCTGCAGCTCTTCACCTAACCAGTTCACTTTATAAAACTGGAGGGCTGAAAAGAAGATATATTTAAGAATCGCTAAATGTAGGTTAAAGTCCAACCTCCCTTATAATCTAACTAAACTATACCATCTAGTGGCAGTGACTATAAGCTATTCTCAATAGCTTCTAAGTAATGATAGTCATCATTCCTAATCCTCTCTTCCTGGAAAGCTTTGCTCTAAATAACAGCTCTAAGAAATGGCAAGTTCTCCATAACAGCATGCTAACATAGCTTGTTCTTTTTTATTTCACCCTTTTCTTTAGCAGCACTTTCCCATTACATGCTTATGCTTTATTTTTTATTTTCACTTTGCTTTTTAGACCGTTAAATACAGGTTTCCTAACTTGTAGAGATGCAGCGTAACCAGTAGTGTAAATCCTCTCCAGCATCCTTTTATGTTATGGTATTAGATTGTCTTCCAGAGTCTGGAGTTTAGCACTTCTGGATCAGTTTAACTCTCTGAAGTTGTCAATATAGTTTTTATAAGTTTTGTTTTCATTAAGTGCCTGAAACAGCCTATGCACATTTGTCATTCACACACTATCTTTAACACACGCATACAACAGTAGGTCATCGGATAATTGATTGAGGTCTCAAACTTTTGTTTGTAATCAGCCGATATTCTGAGTAAATATGAAGGTTCTCTCTCTTTATGAAACAGTGAAGTTGCCCCTAGCAATCATTGGACTGTCTTTTAAATTAATTTAGCAAAATATGGTCAGATCTTGGATCATGGTTCACGATGGCCAACATCAGCTAAAAGCTCTGAAGGAATTAACTGGTCTACAGTGTTTGAGAGAGCACTTTTGTTAACCTAGCTTTAACTAACCTGTCTGACTCAGCTGACCCTAAGCAGTGCTGATCAAAAGCATGACTACTGTTATGTTTGTCAGATTATCCTTAACCTAATTCTCGTGCTGTCTATAAATGATCACCTTCAAAAGTTACTCCTTCTTCAGTTTATGAATTCATCCAATTTACTGATTGACAGAAGTTGAATCTTGAATGATCAGCTCTCTTGTTGCTCATTGGCTGTCTCGTTTTTATTGCAGGAAGTTCCCTCTGAGGCAGGGAGTGTCTGCATATAAAATGGTCTGCAGTTCACTGCTCCATAGGTCAGAGGCTTGTTTATTCTGTCTCCATGGCTACGCTCAGTCCCAACTAAATCTTCCAATTGGCATGCGCAAACTACTGTTTACTACTGAATGCACATTGCACAAACTGTACTGTAACCCAGACAACCCTGGCAAATTTAATTTGGCCTCATTACCAGCTTGCAAATTTGGCTGTACTAGAAAGTTTGATCAGATTTTTGTTCTGTTTCTTTCTGGCAATGTGTATGTAACAATTTGTAGCTTGCTTTTGTTTTTGTAAACAAAGCATGTCGGTTTTGTCACATTGATTTTAATTGAGAAAGGTTTCGTAGGAATCAAAACCTTGTGGGAGCTAAAGTACCCTTCTCAACTTTAACTTCAGAATATTTAATCAATGCTTGACGGCTCTCGCATGCACAGTGAGAGCATATAACCCACTACAGACTGTTGAAATTAGAGTTGGGAAGAGGGGAAATCAATACAAATCATGCACAAATTCAGCTGCTTGAATGGGACTGCTAGCCTGCACTGCGCCGAACATCTCAACTAACTTATGTATCTGTATATACTACCACAGATGCCACCTATTCCACCTCGAGCCCCTTGGCCTCCTCCTCCCTGGCTATGGGAGCCCCGTCCTCTGGCTCTTCTACCTCCTCCTCAGACCATCTCAAGGCCCCCCAGCATCTCCACTCCACTGGAGAAGATGGAGCTGCAGAGATTCAAGGTATGGAGGGTGCTGTGTCGGCCCCCAGCAGAGGAGCAAACACTGCAGCAGGAGACATAGGGTCAGCAGTGTTGTCAGGGCCAGGAGTCCAGCAGCCTCAGAACACCCCGTCCAAACGGAGGCCTGTGTTGAACATATCCCCCCCGCCCGAGGACCTCTTTGACGACAGCCAGATGTCCTGCCAAGAGGAGCCTTCAGTGTCCGCTCCAACGGGTCCAGACTCGGAGCATAGCAGCAGCATGTGGGCCGACGACTCTGTCTCCAACTTCAGCTTGATCAGCTCCGTCTCCTACAACGACAACACAGAGGTGCCGCGCAAGTCTAGGAAACGCACCCCCCGCCAGCGGCCTGGGCCCAAACCTGCCCATCCAGAGGACAGCATGGACGTGTTCGATGCTGGCAGCGCAAAGGCCCCTCACTTTGTCCTGTCCCAGCTGGGCACAGACAAAACCAGTCCCAGGTGGGATGACCCTTGCTCAATGCCCATTCTGTCCGCATGTTAACTCAGAGCTCCCATGTCCCTCTTTTGGAATACAGTTAAGGTCATTTAGTTTTGTTCTGTCTGGGATAATATCATTTCTTGGAGTGTTATTAATGTTATGTTATTTTTTGTTGACTTGCAGCTCTCTTGAGTCAGGAACTGCAGTGAAGGGTGGGTCACTGTCTACTCAGTACCCCCAGAGGAGTGATGGGAAGGAGCTGAAGATCCTGGTGCAGCCAGAGACCCAGCACAGAGCTCGCTATCTGACCGAGGGCAGCAGAGGTTCTGTCAAAGACCGCACTCAGCAGGGATTCCCAACTGTCAAGGTGCAAAGAAGGCCACAGGAAACATCTTAACACCTATGTAGGAAGTGACTGAATAAGGCCAAAACTACACAGGACACATTAGAAATCTCATGCCTGTTCAAACGCATCAGAAACATTAGCTAACTAACGAATACATTACATTTAGCTGATGCTTTTATCCAAAGCGACGCATTAGCACATTTTTGTTTTGAGCTATTAAGCTTTATTTCACAATGGTAGAATTCTGTATTCTGGGTGGTACATAATTATCTTACAAATCAACACCTGACCTAATTTTCTGAAGGCTAATAACTTTAAACTAGATCATACTGTGGTGACTTTAGCTCTTACTTATGAATCTCTGCAGGAAAGTGCCCTTTATTCATCAATAAGGCACTTAACCCTCGACAGCTCCACTGGGGCTGCTTAGTGTCCCGCAGATTAAGCTGGCTGTGTTGAGCAGCGCTGGGATGTAGCAGCTCCAAAACTTAAATAATGTATCAGATGCACATTTGGAAAGGGCAAATAGAAACAAAACCCAGACATTAGCACTAAAGGGTTTTCTTTGTTATCATGGGCACAAAACTAGCACTTTTTCAGTAGAAGCCAAATACTTGTAAATATGTAAATACTTGTTTACACTATATTTAGAGATCAAGGCTGTGATGATCATGTGGTTCGGAACATTATGAATGAAATGATAATCCTAGATAGAAACAACCCATAAACCCCTCTATGTGAGGGACTCAGAAATGGTGTTGGCTGCCACTTTATCTCTTATCGTATGACATTAAGATGTGTGTTACACTTTATTTAAGGCTGATTGTTATAAACCTCCTGGGCCATGGGAATTTCCCATGTTTGACCTGTGCACAGTGTAACACTAGGATTAACATCCCCACCCTGTTAAAAAGTTCCACATCAAGATGGGATCTCTTGCAGAACCAAATATCAAGTCTATCTCTTTAAATCTCCTGAGGCTTATTATGTCTTCCTGCTTGAACATGTGTTTTTGTGTCCATAATAAACAAGAAGATATCTGCCAGTGTTTTGAGGGTAAATTAAAAGTTGTTTACACACAATCTCTTTTGCTTTATCCCCAGTTGGAAGGTGTGAATGAACCAGTTGTGCTACAGGTGTTTGTAGCAAATGATGCCGGCAGAGTGAAGCCTCACGGTTTCTACCAGGCATGCAGAGTAACAGGGCGCAACACCACTGCCTGCAAGGAGGTGGACATTGAAGGCACCACTGTTATCGAGATCCCTCTGGAGCCCAGCAGTGAAATGACACTCGCGTAAGGGGGGAATATTTTGTGGAAAAGTATCCGATAATACTTCACAGTGTTGATATTTGAGAAGTTCCTTGCATGCTTCTCATGTATTCTTCAACCCGTGGTGTTTCTGCAGGGTGGACCGTGTAGGTATTTTGAAGTTGCGTAATGCAGACGTGGAGGCCCGTATCGGTGTGGCAGGGTCCAAGAAGAAGAGCACACGAGCCAGGCTGGCGTTCAGAGTCAACATCCCCCAACCTGATGGATCCGTCCTTACTCTACAGGTCACCTCTTCACCCATCCTCTGCAGTGAGTAGTGAAAGTACAATAAGAAATCCAAAATTATCTCATAAAAGCAACTCTTATCATTAGTCTGAAGCCAAAAATATAGGAACCACCAACAGGCTTCATGAGGTTAATTCAAAATAATGATTTGATGTGTTAAGCTTATGGACATGGAGACATCGTTCTCCTCAGATCATAGAGAACTTTCTGTCATTTATTTTTTCTTCATTCTTCCTATGCTTTTTGTCAAACACTAGCTAATAGGGGTGTAACGGTTCACAAACATTTCGGTTCGGTACGTACCTCGGTTTTTTGGTCACGGTTCGGTTCGGTACAGCAGAATTTTTTTTCACAAAACATATCAATCAATCAATCAATCAATCAATGTTTATTTATATAGCCCAATATCACAAATGTTACATTTGTCTCAGTGGACTTCACAGTTTGTACAGAATATCAGTATGACAATACGACACCCTCTGTCCTTAGACCAGTGGTTCTCAAAGTGGGGGGCGCGCCCCCCCAGGGGGGCGCAGAGGCATGACAGGGGGGGCGCGAGAGACCAGGAGGAAAAATGGTTATAAAAAAAAAAAAACATAAAAAAAAAAAAAATTTGTTTTAAAAATTATTGATTCGAAAATAATATTATACAGTACTATTACGTCTGGGTCTCTGTGTTTCATTAAAGTTTGGCTCTGTGTGTGTGTGTGGAACGAGCCATTTTGTGTGAACACAGAGACCCAGACGTAATAGTACTGTATAATATTATTTTCGAATCANGCGCGCGCACACCTTTTGAGAAGGATTGGATCGGAGTGCCTCGCCACACATTGGGAGACCGCTCAAGAAGGAGTGCATGCGGAGTTTAGAGGATTCAACGAGTGCTTGCACAAGAAGAGACAGTAAGTTCTCAATGCCTCTCTGTCTTCCTGTGTGAGTTATTTTAGTAGTCAGTTTCAGGCGGGGTGACTGCTGGAAAGGGATCACTGTATGGGTATTTTTTACACCAATACGCTTTATTGGTCTACTACTTTATAGCAATGGAGACAACCATCGTTTCCTTTTTACTTTTTAAAAAGTAGTCATAACCTGTAGTTATGCCACACAGACGTATGAAAGTCAAAGATGGTTTGGAGAAGATTGGGGATTTTATATTTATATACCTCTGACCCTATTTCAATCTGACTCACGTCCTTATGTAAAGACAAAAACTATTCTCAAATTTTCTGTACATTTATTCGTGTGTGTATTTCTCTTGAGAGTGTGAAAAAAGATTCAGAACCGACACATCGTTTTGTCGTTTTTCATTATGTTATTGTGTCCTTTTTCCACCATCAGAATGTAAAAGTGCTCGCAAACAGTGTGGTCTAGAGGTGAGTTGATCAGTCTAGAAATCATTCCTAATTCCACTCCTCTTTGATGGTTATGCACATCACCTTTTAGTGAGTTACTCAGAATGAGTTTACGGCCTCACCCACACAAACGTTGTACGAGAATCCTCACCCCACTCGCTCCTCCAGTGTCTCATTCCTGTCCTCTATTTCACATCTTGCAAATGCTAGATGATGAAGATGGATTACCATTAACATTAAAACATGATAAATCCCCTGTATCATAAACTTGTAGTGCATCACTTAAGACTTTGTCTGTATCATTTAGGTCTGCAAACGACACAACTCCTTCAACACCAAGCCCTATTTGCTAAAATAGTTATTCCTTCTCTTTACCCAATGAACCCTTCCGACACAATGCCAAATCATTTGTTGCCGGTTTCTAATGAACTCATATAAGTTAATTGAGCCGCTATACGGCATAATTATCCCACATTTCTGCAACATCAAAGCTGTCTGAATCTTAAAGTTTACCATGTCATGCTGTGGAGCCTCGCAGATGGTGTTGGGGTGTTGCAGCCCTCAGCATCCCCCCCTTCGATGTCTCACTGTCTCGCAGACCTCTTCCATCTGCGAGAAATGAAGAACAGCTCACATTGTCCCGCTCCTTCGCAGCATGCGAGCTGCGCAACGTCCCCCCTACAGGCACAGACCACGCAGCATTCTCATCTGTTTGTCCGTACTGTGTCAATTTCTGGTTGCTAACAAACGCCATTGTAACACGTATCACTGATGTTCCGCTGTAACGGTGGTGGGACTCATCAAACAGACTGGGCGAGCTGCCAATCAGAGCACAGTGGGCCTCATAGGGAGGGGGGGGCTCCAACAAGGCGTTTAGGACAGAGAGTTGAATACACATACTATTACAGAGATGCTGTATGAGAAACCAATGTGAGTTTGGAACCATTGCACAATGTAAATCTATTGTAGTAGACCTCGACAATAGAATTATGATCAGTAGAAATGGCCATGACATGGGACCTTTAAACGTTGGTGTGGTTGAAAGGATGAACGGAAGGGAGCATTTTCTAGCAGGTATATTTAAATAAAAGCGTTTAGTAGGGTAAGACATGAGAGTAATAGTATAGAAATGAGTAACCAAAGTGTCCAGAAAGCAAATGGCACCGTCATCTCAGCCTCCAGATGGTGTCAGAGCTGAGCTGAGGTCAGTGTGTGTCAGCAGAGGAGAGACAGGCAGAACCTCCCCCCCCCCCCACTCACTGTAATGTGCTGCAGCAGCACCATCCCATCGCCTCCACCCAAACACCACGTCACATTCGTTCTGAACATGATGAGGAGGAAGTGCTGATTTAAGATGAATGTCAGCTAAGAAAAGACATTTCATGATGAGCAGGATTCACTTTTGATTTGGATTGAAATCTGCATGTTTAGTGCGCAGAACTGAGGTAGGTTACTCCAGTCACCATGTGAAGGTGAGAAAACCATAGCAGCTTTATCCTCCTCAAAGAGAAACCAGAAGGTTGAGGGATACAGAGGGACTTAACGGAAATTGTATGTATTTCCGTTTACCTGTTTTTCTGTTATTCTAGATCGTTGCACTTGGGCTGTAGTGCTCAGAGTGCTACAAAGTACTTTGGTAAAACTAAACAGCAGTCTCTTATTCAAGAAATCATGACCACGATCTCTTGTTGTGAACAGTTGCATGTAGGAACTATTTTCACACCATCAAACTACATCTGGCAACCACATCAATGAACATTTACAAACAAGTGTGCGTGTATTTAGATTCTGCTAGCTCACCTGAGTTATTCATGTTGTCATTTCCTACCATCAAAAGCCCTCTTGTCCACGGGGAGATGCTTTGTTCTGCGTGGTGATAGGGTTTGTGGATGTTGTTTGGTATAAAGAAAAAAACTGAAACTGCTCATTACAAGACGTGGATTTTATTAAAGGACCCTGTTATGCTTTTTGGTTTCCCTTTAATGTAGTGTGTTAAATAGGTTTTTGTGTATGTAAATGCTCCGCAAAGAATACATTCCAAGCGGTTGACCAATCACAACAGAGGTGGCCAGCTAACCAATCAGAGCAGATTGGGCTCTGGTTTCAGACAGAGGGTGAAAAGAGGTGCTGCAGCACAGGCAGTATGAGGAAAATAAAGAGCTTTTTGAACATTAAAGCATGGAAACAAAATACAAATATGAACTTGAACAATTAGCATAATAGGTCCTCTTCAAGTAACCAAAGTCATGATTTCTGGAAAGAGACATTGCTGTTGAGTTAAATATGTTATATATTCCAACATTCGACAACTCGCACCCAAACAGTGTGTTGGAGCAAAATGTCCCTTTTTTAAATGTAAGTTTCTGTCACTGCATCCTGTGTTTCTGCCTCATCATGTAACGCCCTCTCCTCTTCCTCCCGCAGAGCAAGAGGCTGTACGCCATCCGTCAGCAGCGTGATAAGATGATTAAGGAGGGGACGTACACCCCGCCGCCCTGCCACTCAGGACAGGCTAACCCGTCTCCATGAGGCAGCAGCTCTGCACAGGTCTTCCTGTTCTCATCAGCTAGCCATATTTCCTGTTCCCTGTACAATTTAGCTAATAAATGTTATTATTAAATATCTAACCATTCACGTCACGTCTTCTTTTTTCACTTCATGCTGTGTGTGAAGAAGAAAAGATTGAAAACATCTCAGTACTTTTAATAACTTATAATAAAAATACAAAAACGTAATATGCAGTAGTGAAGTATTTTTGTACAGGAAGTATGAGGAAATAAAGAGCTTTTTGAACATTAAAGCATGTAAACATGTCACAGTAGAGACTACATACTAATATGAAGCAGAAAATGAGCGTTATAGGGCCAGGATCCTTAAACATTATTGCATCAGTAATTATTGGTCACAACAAAACATATACTTGTATAACACTCACATGGGCAATACTTTTAAAACTTGAAGTCAATTATGTTTGAAATACTAACACACTATTTCAAGTATGTAATAACTTACAAACTTCAATATAGTACTTTTGATGATTTTCTTTTAATCTAAAGTGTGTAATGTGTTTAGTCCAAAGCGGTTAATTCTTGACGTGATAATTAAAGCATTCACTTGTGCTCTATGCTTGCCTTATACAGAAATGCAGGGAATAATGGAAACCAGGCATTCTGGGAGTGATGATGGCAGAAAACAAATAGCCTAAATGTATTAACTAGCCTAACTGAATAGCCTCACCACAGCTGGATAAATGCTTTAACTACAGTCCATTTTCTTCACTGACCTCATTTAGTAAATCGTTAAATGGTAGGTAGTAAGCGCTCCTGAGGGACGGCTCTATGATGAGGTTGATATGAGGGAGTGCTGTTTGTCATCCCTGATTCAATTAACAGTGTTTCGAGTCCAACTGATGGGATGATCAGGCTCTGTGAAGCACCACAAGATGGAGCCAAAAGCACACATAAGAAAGTTAGGAAATTCATGAAGTCTCTGAAGAACCAAACAAGTTTCTACCTTTTTTGGTTTTACATGCAGACATTTCTGCTCTTTTTTTAGGGGGAGATTTGCAGGAATAGAATTCTTGAGGTGCTTTTGAAAATGACTGTGTGTCTACATTCATTAAGTAAAACATACTACATGTAGTTGACATTGCGGTTCTCAAATTAAATATCATACAATTATTAAATACATTAAATGTACAATTTGAAACTTTTTTCTGTAAGGTTTTGTGTGTGGTTAGTATTAACTGTCTTTGTTTGGTCAAAAGCCATCTGATTTGGAAATCTGAAAATCTCTATATTTCTAAAATCCTAAATCCCTCACATTTTTATAAGTTGTTTAATTTCAGTAATAATTATTGTACATGACGTAATTGGGTGAAAAGACCAAGTACTGAAACTGCATTTCCTTTCAGATCACACCGGCAAAAATAATATATGAATTGTTTGAACAGTAACTGGTGTTGAAGTTGCTTCAAGTTTGGAGTTTTCCCTAAAAAATGTCTAATGTTACAATGATCAATAATCTGATTTACTTTTTATTGCCGGTATAGCTGTGTGTAGGAATACATGTTTTACTGAGAATGACAGTCAAGCTTTGTCTGAAGGCAGTCAGACGGATTGTCCCCTAAAAATCCAAATTGGCTTTATTAAGTTAAAAAAAATACAGACATAGATCCATTACTCACAATATCACATGGTTTCAATTGTTTACATTTTTGGCAGCATCAGTGGATTCATGTCAGGAGCTTCAGTTTGATATGTACTACAGCCCTGTTTATACTGAAAGGTAATCACCAATCCAAAGAATGAGCAGTGATAGTCGAAGTGATCTTTACACCGAGTTTATCGTTGCGGTTCATGTGGTCGGTCAGTGCATCAGCTGCTGTGTGATTAAAGTGGCTGCAGCAGCACAGACCTCTGATCAGCTGTATGGAGGGAGAATGTGGAAGAACCAACACTGACAAATTCCAGTTAATTTTCAATCTGAATGAAAGGAAAATACATAAAGGAATAGTTTGGATTTCTTAAAATGTACGAGGTACTTACACAAAGTCAGTGTATTCATTCATTCCCCCAGTTTTTGAGGATCAGACAGCAGTGCCAGCACAGAAGCTAAGAACACGTACCGCAGTGTATGGGGGAAGAAGAAAAACGCCTGAAAAAAGCCATCAGTTTAAGGGTACGCTATATTTTAAAATACTTTTGCCCCTTTACATTGCTGTTAAATAGCTAGAGTCTATCAGGAACTTAAGCTGATACTTATGCTCTTTCAAAGCCACCAGACTCCATTAACAACTTTAATTTCATATTGAAGAAACCAGGAAAGTTGTTGTAACGGTTAGTTTGTTTGTGATACTGTTGGACTTTCATGTTTCAAAGGGTTGGTGCTGATATACAAGTTTTCTGTGCGGTAAAATAACTGTTTTCGTCTATGGACTTGTGGCTTTGGAGAGAGTCTAAATAACTATAACCATAAATAACGTCTTCAGGTAAACGGAAAAGAGCTATCTGACTGCAAGGTAAAGTGATGTCCAGAGCACTACGTTGCTTTCTTTACCCTGGAAGACCCTAAGGCATATGTACGCCTACTGTTTGTGGATTTTAGCTCGGCTTTTAACACACTGCAGCCTCACATCTTGCTTCAAAAACTGATAAAGATCAGTATAAATCCTTTTATCTTGAAATGGTATTTTTCATTTTCAACCAATCGCATTCAGCACGTCAGGGTCAACAATGCCCTCTCAGAGCCCCGGACCATCAGTGCAGGAGCCCCCCAGGGTTGTGTGAGCACCCCGGTCCTCTTCACACTGTAATCAAACGATTGTACGAGAATCCACCCGGATAATTATATCATCAAATTCTCAGATGATACAGCCATCCTTGGTTAATGCACAAAGGCAGCAGTTCATCGGCTTATCACTTTGTGCAGTGGTGTGATTTTAACCATCTTGTGCTGAATGTGAAGAAGACTGAGGAGATGGTGTGGGACCCAAAGGCAGTGGGTGACCTTAGGCCGGTGGTTATCCACAATGAACCCATAACTCAGGTCAGCTCCTATAAGTACGTTGGTGTTCATCTAGAATCTAGTACACTCAGCTGGAAGGTGGTGGGGGCCACATCATTGATGTACTGGCCACCAGGGGGCCGCAGATTTACTTGGAACACACACACAAAAATTCCATGTGTTGTATGTAATTATGAACAAACATACTAAGTCTGACATCTTCATTGACATTTTACAATCAAAGGGAACATACCCAAAAAATGGGAACATCCTCTAATAAGCTCAGTAAACAAATATTGTCACGGTTTGTGAAACAAGCAGGACCCAAATGCAGATATAAACTGAAACTTCCTTTATTTCAAGGCTATGATATATATGTACAATGACAAAACAGAACACTCACCGCAGAACTAGTCATGGAACAAGACGAACCGACCAAGACAGACAGACAACCCAGAACTTAAATACACACAAGACTCAATCACACAACAAGACACAGGTGAGGAGGGAGGAGAAAACACAGGGGCCCAGGTGAACATAATCAGACAATTAGACACACCAGGGAAACTAATGACAAGACAATAACCCAAAGGAAAACATGACATGGAAAACAGCAAAAACACCCAAACCTACAAAACTATAAACGTGACATAACATGAAAATCGTGACATAACCCCCCCCTCAAGGGACGGATCCCAGACGTCCCAAAAAAACAAAAGTCCAGCAGGGTGGGTGGAGGGGTCTGGAGGACGGGTCTCGGGAGGACGGCCCGGGGGCAAGGCAGAGTTCAAAAAAGGGGAATTCGGGCGGACGGCCCGGGGGCAAGGCAGAGTCCATGGAGGGAATCTCGGGCGTACGGCCCGGGGGCAAGGCCGAGTCCGAGGAGGGGTGAAGACCAGACAGCTCCGGAGGCCGGTCAGGAGCCGGTGTCGGCAAGATCCCCCATGGAAGAGGACACAGGACCNACTTGCTCGCTCTATGACGCGTTGAACCCAATGTGAGCAAATTACTCTGAATGCTGCGACGCAGCACCTGAGATTACTTCCAAAAAGTTGTTCACATTCTCAATTTTTTACGTTTAACGTTATATTCGTTCGGTACACTTCGGTACACATGTGTACCGAACCGAAGGGTTATTCGGTACGGGTACGTATAGCGTTACACCCCTACTAGCTAATATGTCATGTCAGTTTTAATGATCAAACACTTCTGTCATTCTCCAGCCCAACCAGCAGGAGTGCCAGAGATCCTGAAGAAGAGTCTTCACAGCTGCTCAGCGAGAGGAGGAGATGAAGTCTTTATCATCGGAAAGAACTTCCTCAAAGGAACCAAAGTTATTTTTCAGGAGAATATTGCAGGTGCTGAAGCAAACTGGTTGTTCTATTTGTATCTCTCATCTCTATGGATATCTTTCTGAGCGTTATACCTCTGATGGGCGTTAAAAGAAACATATTTTTGTTTGTATTTGCAGATGATAATTCCTGGCAAGCTGAGGCTAAGATTGACATGGACCTTTTCCACCAGGTAAATGCAGCTAAATGACATTATACTCTGATGCTCACATTGACCATGCATACGATTTGACTTCAAAGGTGATTGTTCTCATTGATGTCTTCTGTTTTCAGAACCATTTGATAGTGACAGTCCCTTCGTTCCAAAACCAGTCAATCACTTCTCCCGTTTCTGTGGGAATCTACGTGATGACCAATGCTGGTAGATCACATGAGGCCCAGCCCTTCACCTACACTCCAGACTCAGGTACAGCCACTCGCTCAAGCTTATACTAGTCCTATTTTGAGGATGATTTGAGCATTGTATTATACTGTTTGAACCTAAAGTTACCTGTATTGGTCGTATGAATCATTGTATGAATAGAAGTTACAGCAAATATGTTTCTGTGAGAGGTTGCAAGCATTCATTAATGAGAAAGGAATATCTATCCTGTGTTTCCTCCATCACCCACAGCTGATAACTCAGAAATCCGGACAATAAAAACAGAGGGACCCTCTCTAGTCAGCACGTGTATATTTGATTGCCAGATCAAATCTATATCTTCTGAGCAAACTGACAGCTCCGCTCCTCCTTCCAAACGACAAGAGGACACACCAATGGAAGTGTCTAGCAATCCAACTCCCACAGATGTCTTTAAGGTAAAGTACAATTCATTCTCAAGAAAGCATGACCAAAATATCTGCTTCAGAATTGCAGACGGTAATATATTTGTCCCCTCTTTTTTCTTAGCCATCCCCTGACCCTATTGTCGTGGTGCAGCAGACACTGGAGCTCAGCTCTAACCCTCATCCAGGTGGAGAGTCCTTTCAGAGCCCAATGCCCCTACAACCTGAAGACGTGGAGCTCTCCCAGGTGCCCCCTGTCTTTCCTAGCCTTGAGTCTCTCAGCCCCATACAGAAGCAAGACATTACCCCCACAACCTCGTTCCCAGTGCAGGGCGATACCACAATCCCCCCTGTAACACCAGAAGTCCCTCAGCAATTTCTCAGAGATCCTCAGGACAGCATACCTCCTGAGAGTTCCAATAGTAGCGGAGGGGTCGTAGTCTTGGCCATGTCCCAGATAGCGACTCCCTCTCAGCCCCAGCAGTCACAGGTACCCCTATTCCCCCAGGATGGGGTGACCCAGATGGAGAGGGCAGTAAGGGAGCTACAGGCGGGAGGAAACACCACCTTCCAGCAAGTGTTGGAGGCGGCTGTAGCCCAGCAGCACCTCAACTCTGTGCTGTACAGCCCCACCCCCTCTGCAGACACCCTCCAGCAGCACGTCCAGGAGAACATGAATAGCCTTAGATTGGGAAACACAGATAATACACTTTCAACACAGCAACAGCTACAAATACAACAGCAACAGCAGATGCAACAACAACAGCAGATGCAACAGCAGCAGATGCAACAGCAGATGCAACAGCAACAACAGATGCAACAACAACAACAGATACAACAGCAGATTCAGCAACAACAACAACAACAACAACAAATACAGCAACAGTTTCAACAGCATCCACACCTGCAGCAACATCAAATCCTTGGTAACCTTCAGCAGCAAGGTCTTAATAACATGCAGATCCAACAACAACAACTTATATTACAGCCACAAGACCAGCAGCAACTGCAGCAGCAGCACATTATAGAGAATATTCAGCAGCAACAACATCTGCAGCAGAATCAGCAACAGCAAGTCCTCAACAGCATCCAACTTCAGGATCAGCAACAACAAAATCAAATACTTACCAATTTACAGCAACATCAGCTACAGCAGCAGCAGCAGCAGCAGCAGCAGCAGCAGCAGCAACAACAACAGCAGCAAAATCAAGCGTTGAGCAACTTGCAACAACAACTGCAGGAGCAGCAGGTGTTGGAGAATTTACAGCAGCACCTTCAGGCGGAGTTGCTTCAGCCCCAAATCCACTCCGCTCCCCAGGTCCAGCAGCCAGTGTCCCTGCTTCAACAGACTGGAGAGCTGCTCACCATTCAGACCACCTTCCCAACACAGCCCCCCTCCCACACATCTCCCCCACAGCAGCTCTTTCAATCGCCGCGGCCCCTCGCTGAGACCCAGAGCCCCCAACAGCAGGTCCAGGCTGCCCTGCTTCAGAACACACTGACAGTTCTGACCAGTGGCAGTCTCAGCTCAGAGCAGCAGCCTACAGGGTCAACGTTGTACCTGTCTCCAAACCCTCAGCCCCAACAACAGCAACCACAGCTGACATTCATCTCCTCCATGGAGACCTCCAACAGCCAGCCCCAGTCTGTCGTAATGTTTCAGAACCAACCCCAAGCTCAGCTTTCCCAGATGCAGCAGCAGAGCACCCCAATGGAGCAGCAGCAGTCTCCACAGCAGAACCAACAACAGCAACCGCAGCTTCTCCAGCAGGGAGGCTCCCTGTTCCAGAGTATCCAGAACCACTCCCAGCCTAACACCGTCCCTCAGAGCCAGCTTTCCCAACCCCAGCAGACCGGTCTCTTGCTCTGCACCACAGATCTTGACCCCCAGGCTATTCCCCCAACTATTCTCTTCAGCACCCAGACACAAGGCCCTTCCCAGATGGGGAGCATTAGCGTTGGAATCCAGCTGCCTGACCCAGCAGAGCCCATGTCCTTCCAGGACCAGAGCTCCTCAGGTGGAGGAAACGTGTCCTCCGCTGAGAACCGGCAGCAAAGCCTGTTCCAGGAACAGCAGCCAATGCAAGTGGGACTAAGTTCCAGCAGCGTGCAGAGCAGTCAGCCTGTGGAGCTGTTCCTGCCTCAGACCTCTCTGTCCAGCCTGCAGAGCTCTATTGGCTCACAGGAGCTGAACCACCAGGCTCCATCCCCTGGCACAACCATCTTTGTGGTCCAGGGCAGTGTGGGGGTGGTAGCCAACCCTGGCCAGCAGCCCCCGGAGCAGCTTTTCCAGACCACAGTGGGTGGAAACGTGGCTCCACAAGGACAGGCCAACCTGTTTGTGTTTGGCATCCAGAATGGTAAATCTCCATTTTTAGTACAGTAAATCCAAGCTAAATGTAAGTCTTGCCAAAGCCTTTACCTGCTGTTTGGTTATAAGGATTATTTCCATTCTCTCTTCCTCCTAGACTCGCCCCAGCTGCTCAGTTCCTCCGGACCCACCCTCGCTGCTCAGAGCCCGCCTCAGAGCTCCAGTCACATGCAGCCTCTGTTGGACCAGCCAATGGGACAAGCTGCCTCCACCATGCCACCTAACATGCATAGCAGCTTACAGAGCACCCTTCAGGCCCAAATGCAGTCAAGCTTAGAGAGCGCCATGCAGACAAACACACAAACAACTCTGCAGTCCAGTTTACAGGCAACCATAGAGACAAGCCTGCCGACTCCAATGCAGACCAATCTACAGACACAGAGTAGCTTACAGAATCAATTGCAGGCTTCAATATCTGCATCGTCCAACATCGATAAATTTGAGGACATACTGGAAAGCCTACAAAAGCAGTGAAAAGTGTTTAAACATCCCTACATTGACCAGAGTGCGTGGTGTTTTGTGCAAATGCCACAACATTTAGAAAACAATTGGATATTTAATAATTAAATGCCCCTTTACCTAAACCTCAATTATACGTTCTTGCAATTGTTTTTATTGAATATTTTAAATATTAGAGCCTTCATACATCCATCGTCCTTGAATCGAAGAATCCGCCTTTGTTATTACTCCTCTTGCAGGATCAGAGAGGCCTGTAATAACTGCTTTATCCATCAGTCTCAAAAATGCAGAGTTTTGTTGTTAGTGTTTTTAATAATATGAGTCTGAGATGATGATAAAAAAACCTACCAGGTTTGGTGGAGAAACTGGAAAGGGATAAAGAATGTCAGCAACAGGGAAACGGGAATAGTATTGTCAGAGTAGGCGGAGCAGATTAAAACAGCCAGCGATTAAGTGAATATCAGATTGTGTCAGAAAAAAACTGAATCTCATGTTGTGAGCGCAAAGACTTCAAGCCCAATATGAGGGGAAGAGATGTGTTTTTGTCTGTTCATCATGTGAATATCATTTACCTGGCATAACAACAGGGATAAAATATTGTCCCCACTCAATTTAATCTAATGACATGACAGGATATTTTGCAGTTAATTAGACCCTGGTTTTGCACATGTCATCAATTTGACTACTCTAAGAGTATAGACTGACAAATTAAGTACATTTGTAGAATGTTTGCCTCCATTATATGTGCTGCACATGAGCAGACTCTAGTAGAAGAGAGTTTGAGCATCGATCGACTCCACAAAAAATAACTCACTCACCAAAATGGTGATCAGTCAATACATTCTGGTATTGTAGGGGGTTCCCCCAAAAAATAAGAGGGCCTATCAAACACTCTCAAATGAGATTCACCCTTGTGATAACTGTGACTTGGCTTTTGGTTCTGGCACCTCCCAGTGTTTTCATAGGTCAAGGCGACAATACCGGGCTTGGAGAAGCTTTTTTGTCCAATTTTAAGAAGCATTCAACTATGTAGTGTGTGTGTATATATTTTTTGTTTTGAAGAATTGGTAACTTTTACAAATTTAATGTGGATAGAAAGAAACGTTCCACTTGTGAAAATGGAGTGTCGTGTGGTTTTATAAACATTTTATCTCAAGCACTTTATAACCTCTAGATAATCCTTATATTCGTCCACAGCTCTCTACTGACCCAGCTGAATTTGTACTCGGAACTATTCAGTTAAAAAAACGAAAAAAGTAACACAGCAGTTGTCTTTGTAAAGGTAAATACATCTTAATCAAGCATTTTTACATTATTTTGTAGGTCTATGACAACTTTGTATAGGATGTCTACTCACTGTTGAATTCCTCTTTGTATTCAGTCTCAGTGGTCCAGTCTAAACAAACAGCCATTCCCACAAAAGCATTGTCAATTTTCAGTGTTGGAGTGGTAAGTAGGCCTTTGTGTTTTACACACTGACACAACACCCTAAAATACTGATTTGTTTTAGTTAGTCCATGAAATGAAGGGGTTTTCATCGTATTGTTATTTGTACCATTTACTGTCCAATCTGTCACTTGAGACTGTTTTACCTTGTGTTGTGTTAGATATTTAAGTTTTTGTCTCAGTGTTGGTACCGTGTGAAGTTGGCATCGAGTGCCCGTCCCATGTGTTGTGAACAGGGGCTCACTGGTAAATGAAATCTCTGTTACATAGAGGCCGCCATTTTGATCTATGGTGCTATGTGCAGGCATGGTGGGCACTTCTGATGTGATGATAGTACATAACAGTTTATACTTATCTCTATAGCACTGACAATAATTGTTAGTTTTGAAGCGGCGTTGAGTCTAGAGCTGGCTGTTGTTGTGGGGTCAGACTGGAGCGCACCCAGGCATACCAAAGCTCCTGTTGTGAATCATCTTGTCTCATTCATGTCCTTGCAAATGCTATCATAATGTTTACTCATTCGTACTTACTCATTTAAGTTATGCAGCTCTTACATGGATAGTGATTCAGCATGTTTTTGAGTGCAAGATTTATAAAAGATACGTAAAGGTACTTTGTGTCATGGATCAGTTTTCCTCTAAACATTTCCACCAATTTGATTCATTACTCTATTTTTTGATGCAAAATATAACGGCTGTACTTTCCATATCTATAAAAGTGGCCAATTTTGGCATTATCATAAAGACAATTTTTGAGAATAATTCAAATGTTAGAATAATGTTGCTCACATATGCATTTGTTTACATTTTCATAGTCATACTATTTTTTCCTGCAGTTGTTCGTGATCTGTTTTAAAGTAACTTATCTTTTTTAGAATTTTGTATCCATGTATCAAAAATGCAGAGTATTTTTGTAAAACTAAACTTTTTGGTTTATGCTCATAGCACAGAATATATCATTGCTGGTATGTTTTCCTGAAATGAAGCGCAGGTTTATTGTGAAGTGCGTGACTGATATTAGTAATGTAATTAAGTGGACATCAAGCAAATATGTTGGAACTTAATTATACTGTTTATAAAAATGACTTTACCCAACCTGTATAACATAATACATGGGCTAGGTTTTTCTTGTGTGTTTGTTTTTTATGTCATGCATCTCAAATGGCACTTTGACTCATCCATTAACTGTAGATCAGGTTAGAGCGCAGTAGTAATGTTTCCAAGCATTCCAGTCCTCTTGGGGAGTTTAAGAGCACATGATGTTGCGGAAGAAGTGCGGAAAAGTAATGCCTCTTAAAGCCATACCAACACAGAAAGCCAACCTGTGACTTCAGTTTCATGAATGTACATTTTACCTCATGGTGTGGACATAGAGCTTGCTCTGCATCTGACATCGGACCAATTACAGTTTTAAAGAACATATATTTTGAGGGTGGGGGTGGCACCAACTGTCATTTGTATCACTGTACATTTTGTCAGATTGTTTAGTCTTGGATTTTGGTGTAATTTCATGTTTTTTCACGTCCAGTTTCATTTTGAGCAATCCAGGATGCTCAGTCTGACTCTTCGAATAGCCACTACCACCTGAAACAAAACATGTGAAACATTAATTTAAAAGGTGGTGAAGATAGCACACAAATCTTTACAAAATATCAGTTTTGTCCTTCAGTCATGTAATGAATATCCATGTATATTTAAATGTGAAATATACTGCAGGGGTATCTTGAATTTCAATTGTGATGCTTTCAACAGAACTTTGTGTGCCTTGATAACTTAACTGTTACTCTGCTGTGTTTACTGGTGTCCCTTTCGTGTCATACTATTTGGCTCCTTGTCCTTTTTATTCTCTAGGACTGTTGAACATCAAGACACCTTTTTGTGATGTAATCTTTATTTCTAAACACAAGCATTACCATAGCCCATACAGATATATTTTATTTGTACAACATCGTGCAGCTTCACCAGTGAATTGTCAACTTGTTTGTTACTTTCTGTTGAAAATGTTTTTCATGCCTCATGAGATTTGTACATGTGAGGTAAAAGGGACGAGACCGTGGAGATTGTTTTATGGAGAGCTATCTTGTGTTGATGTGCTTGTCAACATTACTATTGTTGCTGTGAACTGCTTGATCAAAAGGAGCAACCATGATAAATTAACTGTTAATTGCCAATAGTGTGAGCTGTATCTTGTGTGTACTCAGTTAGCTCACTTTTCCTAGTTCGCTTTCTATTTCACATTCTCCAACAGTTTTGTTGTATCCGTTCTGTGTAGCTTGAGCTTTAGTATCTAGCCTTAAGACCCCGCAGTCGGGATAAAGGTCAACCCCAGTGTGTTATCATACATCTGAACTATTATTAACATGTACTTTGCCTTGGTCTGGACATTTGTATACTCTTCTGTTTATATCTGTAATCCTGCTGCTACATTAAATGAATTAATAAAAATTAAAACGTATGTGTTTTTTTTCTCATAAGTGAATAGTTCTGAAAGTTTTATATATTAATCTTCTCAAGCAAATATTTCACATTACTAAATGTATTCTTATCTTCACAAGGCTATATATGAAGGAACAACAATTATAAAACACTTCTGCTTCAGGTATTTGTATCGGCACAAATGCATTACAAGCATCAGGACACAGCTGGTCATAGTTTACTCGTTCTTCTGTGTAGAACCTGTTGGAAGAAGGATATTGGATCTTCTGGGTCAAAAGCAACATGAAAGTCAGGTTTTTTCTTGAGAGCCAGGGCAGCGACCAGTATGGCAAACATGGCAGTGAGGCCCCATATGTGATACTGGCTTCCTGAATCAGCGTCCACAAAATGGAAAGAGTGCAGCATCCCCGTTGTCCCGGCAACACCATGGGTGGCATAGTGGTCCTTGTCGCTGGTGAAGAAGTCCAGGGGGACAGTGAACACAGCACTGACCTCAGCTGGGTTTGGACAGGGACAAAATGACTCGTCTATGAAGCCAACCACCGGGGTCACCAACAAACCGCTCTGTTAAAAGAGATAAAAATAGAGGTGGGAGGGGGGCATGTGAAATAGATGGACCAAAATCAGCTGATGCGTTTGAAGCAAGCGGCAAACTCTTTGTGCAGAGCCGGGAGGCCAATAAGGAAGTGCCTCAAACTGCAGTCCATCTAGTGGCCAGTAGGAGCAGTCTGCAGAAGGGAGCAATTTCCATAGACCCCCATGTTAAAATGACCAACTTTACAGCAGAAATAAATGTTTACATCGTGGTTCAAGAAAACATATTCTCTGTATAGTAAGATTCCTCCTTCATGACAACTGTGTGGGGGGTGCATTGTTTTATAACACAATCCTTTTAGTTATATTAGGTCTTAAAGTTTTTTTAAGATCTGCTCATCTCTCATCAAAATAATATGCTACACAGGGGCGGACTGGCCTGTGTTTTCTGGAGAATCACAGAACGGACGATCGTCCTTATTATTATGCCGTTCAAACCAATTATTTAAATTTGTTTGTTGAATTCGGCATCATGTAAGTTGCGCTGACATGTCCCCGCAGCGAGGCTCCCCCTGTGCTCCTGTTGCAGTGGCGTTTTTATATGTATTGGGGCACAAAAAACTTAGATGTCTATATATAAGCTTCTGCAGTGACGTGCAGTGAGGTTCATGGCTGGTGAGGCACTGACTCTTCAGGTTTACAAATATTATATTTTGACCTAAATCAAAATATGTTATTTTCAAAAGCTTTTTTTGTCTGATGCTTCGATTAATTTTAAACAGACAGTTCAACAAAAGGATACCCAAAAAATGTAATTTTATCATTTAAATATTGAATTGTTCTCTCTTAGTAAGATCCCATTTTCAATAAAATTGCGGTCTTACCTTGACTTGAAAATGAAGTCCATTTGCCTATCCTTCTGGACAAAAATCTATTACTTTTTTGTAAAATTCCTCCTTATCTTTTTGTAGTTTCAAAAGTCGAATCATAAATCTAATCGATAGATTTATGATTAGAAAATTATAAAAGTAGGGTAGACATGTGGATATTATCCGGCTGAACGTGCATTTATCTAACAGGTACGTTTCCCACAGATCTTATTTCGAGCTGTTTTCTAAAATCCTATGGAGAAATCTCATTGCTTTTTTGTCGAGGGAAGCCATGCGCAGCTTATTTCCGGGTTTTAGGCATGGTTTTAGGACGCGTCACTCTCTCTCGTCTCCTCTTCACGCATCATACTTTTTGCGGCATACGTACTTACAGCCAATCAGCTCTGAATTATGTGAGATGACGTATGGTGGGGATGGCAGCTCAGTGCCCCTATGGTCATTATTTTTTTGCCACACATTAAATAGGAAAATACTCTGAGCATGCGCAGTGTAGTTTTGACAGTCACCATTCAGTAGAGGGAGGGGCATGATCGGGTTTTGTCCCACATGGCTCTAAACCGCTCAATAGGCACACACTGTTGACACTAATTAGAAGAACACAGACTAAAACAGCAATGTACAGACAAATCAGATGATTAAACATGATCTTAAAATATATATATGTTTTTTTTTGACCAGTCGCCACTGTCCTGTTGACAGTTCACGAGCGTCAAACTCCTCCCGTCGAACTAAAGAGTTCTCATGAACCTTTGTGGGAAAAGTACTGCGGTTTGTATGCGCCTAGGGACTGAAAAGGGGGTGAAAAGGTTCTCATGAACTAAGTTCTAGTTCCGTTTTTTTTTATGTGAACAGTGGCGGAGCTGGGGGGTGTCCAATGTATGTCGCCCAGTTTTTCAAAGAAAAGGTGGGTGTGATCTATGAGTGGAGGAAATGTGTCTGTTAGCTACGCGTAGTCCATTGTAAATAATAATTGTTATGTTTTTTTTTTACTAAGCTGACATTAAATACTGTTAATATCTATACAGGTTTTTAATTTCACTCCTCTTTTAGCTGACATTTAGTAAATGCAGGTACATTTTTAGCAGCGATTCATACTAAATCAGTTGTCCCTCCCCCTGGTGCCAGGACCAACAGATCCATCTCTAGACTTAGCAGCCCTGTCCCCCCATAAGTGTTATATTTTCACAGCTCAGTGTCAGTAAATATTGTGCAGTTAGTATTGGACTACAAGATAGATGCAAGCCTGTACAGGTAGAGTTATTTAAAGCATAAATGAGTTGGTTGGGTTCTGGAGGTGTGGTTACAGCAATTGTGCTTGGTTGGCGTGGCCTGGACCTGATGGTGGGGCCCAATGTGATATATTTCCATGGAGCCCAAAATCCCTGGCGTGTATGGCCAGAGGGCAGGACCTATAAACANGTTCCCACTTGACAGTTAACGGAAAGAAACAAAACAAAACAACAACACCAAAACATCTCATAAACAAGGAAAAGTGCAACACCCTCATCTGAGTCCTACTGGAGTAGAAGGGGGAAAGCGGCACATAATAATAATAATAACAATAATAATAAAAATAATAATGGAACCTGCAAATAAAAAAACAGACATCACAAAGACTTACCAATGCAGGACCAGAGTACATCAACTTATTTATTCATCATGACAAGAAGACAAGAAGATCCGGTGAGGAAGAGGAAGAAGATGAAGACTAGCTGCTGTATCACATTCACCAGTAAAAGGGGAAGTTATCAGAGAGCCTAAGTGATTCACTCATTTGGATTCACCTACCTCTGTTAACACCTGAAGGCTCTCAAACTTCTCCAGCCCCGAATATTACTCGTGTCCTTCCCCAATTTTGTTTTTGTTGATCTCTAAAGGTTGTTTTTTATCTTCCATTATTAATGTGTGTCTGCGTGTTTTGTTCTGTCGGGATTGTTGTTTTAGTGATGTGCATATTTTTGGGAAGGTCCGCCACGCTCTACGGGCCACAACAAAGAGACGCACAGTAATGAGCTCTCGTGGCGCTGGGGGGGGGCACACACATTCACACAGAAACACACACACACATACATGAATGCATGCATGTATGCACACAAATACACATGTATACATGCACAGGCAGTGGGGTAAAAAGTGTATAGCACACACTTTTATACACACACACACACACACACACACACACACACACACACACACACACACACACACACACACACACACACACACACACACACACACACACACACACACACACACACACACACACACACACACACACACACACACACACACCCTTAAACAGTGCTTCATCCAGAAGCACTTTTAAAGCAGGTGAAATTGCAGGTCTTACACTGTGAACCTGCCTTTCATGAACACCACAGCTCATTTCTCACACACACACACACACACACACACACACACACACACACACACACACACACACACACACACACACACACACACACACACACACACACGACCTGTGTTACAGTGTATACGAGTGTCTAGGGCCTGACAGAAAGGCACGTTATGAAAGCAGTAATACAGCCATGTCTATTTAAATTATTCTAAAAACAACAACAACAAAAACTAAAATCTCTTGGAACAAAAAAAGGGTTTAAAGCACAGAAACATGCAGAAATTAATAAATCGACAAGCTGGAGGTTCAGTGGTCCATGTCTGCCCTTCTTGCCCCCTTGGGGGGGAATTTGCTCTGGACACGAAATACAGAGATGAATTAAAATGATGGAAGTACATGTGATGATAAAAGGAACAAAGAGTTGCCTCAAACAGCTGAACGGGAGATCACTGACAGATTAGAAATGGCAAAGAAGAAAAAAATCTGAAAATCACCGGGTTAATAACACACTATCTCAACTCCCCCCGCCCCCCTCCACCTCACCATCCCTACCCATCTCTTCCCTCTTCTGTTTTTTTTTTTTCTGCTGGCGTTTGCTGGTCAGCAATAATCAAAAACCACTTTCTGTGGGCCGGATTAGTTTAGCCCCCCCTCAACGCCCCCCCACTCTCCCTTCTCCAGCTTAGCCCACTGGACCAGGGCGATGTGTGTGTGTGTGTGTGTGTGTGTGGGGGGATGGGTAGTTGTGTGTGTGTGTGTGTGTGTGTGTGTGTGTGTGTGTGTGTGTGTGTGTGTGTGTGTGTGTGTGTGTGTGTGTGTGTGTGGGGGTGTGTGTGTGTGTGTGTGTGTGTGCACATGTGTGTACGTAGCAGCACATGCATTGACAGAGGTGTGGGGTGTACACTATGGGGGGGGGGGTGTCTTATCAGGACTCTGCTTCTGGAGACAGACGCGCGGCAGCAACGATTGCTTTAATACACACCCACATGTACACGCACACACAACCACACACACCTTAACAAAAGGGCTTGGCAGTAATGTGATAATGCCAGGGTTAGCAGTTAGCCAGCTAGCTAGGGAGGGAGGACAGAGTGCAGTTTTGTTTTTGGGGAGGGACGAACGTGTCGGCACATACTCTGACTTTTTACTAATACCTACAAAACACCTCCAGATCAAGCTGCCTCAATACACACTTTTATGAGAGATTATTAGACAGAAACAGCAACGATGTAGAGAGTAAGAGGCATATTTAGACAAAAGGCCCGTGTTCCCATGGTGACTACATTCACCTGTTGTGTCCAAAGATACAAAGCCAGAGTTGGGCCAATATTCATCATTTACAAACTGCATTAGGCCAAAGGTTAGGGCACGTACAAGTATCATAGATTCTGATAGCGGGTAGTTAACTAATTTAACTACCGAAATGAAAGTTTCATTTTTGCTAGATTCAGGCAGTTTGTGAAGTAATCTCTATAGACAGAAGTCTGCAAATGAATTAAGAAGCAACAGGTTAAGATTTTCTTATTTGGAAGACTCCTGGTCTCAAATCAAAGTTAATTTGTTGTCCGAGAAGTATTGACACACAATGTTTCAGCGTGCCATCAGATGGGAATTAGACAATGATATGGGACGACATGCTACTGCCTTTCTTTGTCTGTCTTTACTTTCTCCTTCCGACTCTCACTTCATCTTCTCACACCAGTCTTAGTGCATACAGAATCTCAAAGGCACACACACATTACTCATGCACATCAATGCGTTGACTGTACCTTGATTTCAGAGGGTGAGAGTTTGTCTGTTCGCCTGCCAGTCTCCGGGGTCTCCTGGTTCTTTGGGTTGAGGTAGACTGCAGCCACCTGGCTCTGCTCCAGGAAGGACAGCAGGATCAGCCGATCGCTCAGCACCGCTGGGAACAACAGCATGATCATTAATGTCAAGATTAAAAACAACAACAACAACAACATTACATTACATTTAGCTGACACTTAAATTGAAAGCCACTTACAATAAGTGCAATAAACCACAAAGACACTAACTCAGAACAACAAGAAAAGTGCAGGTACTGTACATTCGCTTCATAATAAGCCAAATCATTGAAGTGCTGGTGCATTCAAATAAACTCATGAAGACCTCCATTTCTATTCTTATTTTTCTGATTTAATGGCCAAGGTAAAGGTGAAACAGTCCTGAGGTCAATGGGGAGCTCATTCCACCATTTTGGATCCGGGATAACAAAGAGTTGTGTTTTTGTTGAAGTGTACCTGGGTCAAGTAAGGGTGTAGACAGCCCATTGACCCATGCATAACGATAGCACATGCTGGGGTGTATGGTTTGATCCTCTCCTGGATGTGGGACGGACCGGATCCCCTCACAAAAGGGTAGGCCAGTACCAGTGTCTTAAAGCGGATTTGGGTGTGTAGGGAGTGCAGGAGGGGTGTAGGATGGGAGAATGTAGGTAGATTGAAACCCAGTTGAGCTACATCATGTTGAGATGACAGTTATAGAGTTCAATATCTCTTTTCAAAGACATCAACATATTCAATGGTAACTAAACAAACTTTTCTGAACAGAGCCTAGCCTTTTGTCGTTATCCTCTAAATGTCCCTCTCTCCTTCCTGCTTCCTCCTTTCCTTACCACTGCCTCCTTATTCTTTGTATCTCCTTCTTCCTGTTCTCTCCTCTCTTCCCCTGTCAGTGTACTGCAGGCTCTAAAGGCCTTTTTGTGGTAGAAGAACACACTTGATCCTGTTCAACTCTTCAGGAGCTGCATGGAAACGCTGATTAGCAATTAAGCCCCCCTCTCCTTCAAATTAATCTGTTTATGAAACCAATTAAATGGAAAGTAGGGGGGGTTGTTACACATGTCTCTCAGATATCCTGCTTTGAGTTGAACGAGTAAGGCTGCACCCCGAGATTTAGAAATCTAACCGCCAATTAACCACGGCATGTGTGTATTTATAAAACGTGCGGGTATTGGTATGATTACACTTCAAATCATCCTGTTGTGTGAACATTTCAAATTAATATGCAAATATTTACGAGGGAAGTGAAACATCGCATGGAAATACAGAAAAACTAGCAACTGAAATCAGGTCAATGGAGTCGGTGTGTCCTTATGTTGACGTTGGATTAGAAATCATTAGTAAAGAGAACTGGTCCAAGGCTTAAACAAAAAGCAGCCATTAACGAAGCATTGGCTCTTTTTCTAAACAACGCTTAGTGCAATAGTAAGCGTCTTTGTAATAGATTACAGTCAAATCAAGTTAAATGCAGTTTAGTATTGATCTCTACGGGTGTCTATAAACGGGATTACATTTAATCCCATTCATTCCCAAATGAAGGAGGGGATATGAAACCAGGCTGTGGCCCAATCTGGGACCAGGTGGCTGATTTGGCATTAAGGGCCAGACCTTTATGACACACACACACACACACACACACACACACACCCTCTAGTCTTGACACAAGCATACATGCACAGATAGCAACATATACATTCATACATGCAACCATGCTTTATGATTTCTCAGTTACACCCACAAGCATTATATAAACCTTCAACATGTTGAAACACGCACATAGACACACAGACAGAAAGACACAGACACACACAGCCCTAAATCCATTTAATGCCATCTCCTCAGCAGCATGTTGACATAAGAGGCCAATGGGCTTAACCAAAGCACATTTAAACATGGGTAAATGAAACGGGCTATGAAAAATCACTTAAGGATGCTTAATCGCGGAGCATATGCTCAGCTTGGCCCAGCCATCGGCCAAAGGAAGCCGGTAATACTTTGATGGTGTAAAATATGTGTAATCTACAGCTCTGTATGATGCAATCATGGTGGAAACGGGAAGGTAGCCGGCATTGAGCATACAAACTTTAAGGGAGGACAGTAAGCCGGCTTTGTCACATCGTGAAACAAAAAACAGTTCTGGCTGCCGTCGCTCGTTGTCTCAGGGACAAACACGCAGCAGGCCTCACATTCAACCGGATCCATGCAAATCAGGAAGAGGATTTACTGCAGCGTTCACACACTGTAACCCAGTGGCGAACCGTCAGGGCCTTCAAGGTATTCAGAGAATACCCTGGAACACTCAGATAAACAAAACATCGATTTAATTTTATAAATAAAATGTATGTAAAATGAATAAATGAGAATCCTATCTGTGTTGTTGATCTGTAATATTACAGTGTTACGTTGATTTGTTTGTCCTTCTCGGACCATGCACTACGCATTACAGTGGTTTTGTGTTAGAAAAGAAAGCAAGGCGGCGGCGGGGGGTGTGTGTGTCTACAGAAGGTCCAGTTGTGATAGACACGGTTCGCCACTGTATAATAGTGACTTCAATGCCACCCCAAAATGATCACTGGTTCCATCCTGGCCACCCCACCGAAAATGTCCTGGCTCCACCACTGGGTGTGAACGCACATTTTCGGAACTATATCAGAACTATAGCTACTGGGAAAAGTACTCCGGTGTGAAAGCGCCTTATGTGCAGAATCCTATGGGTGACGTAACGGAAACTATGTCCATTTATACAGTCTATGGTTTGAAGGGGTAATTGTTTGCACTGGCCTACCTTATTGATGATAGGGACCAGTCTACAGACCACCTGAACATCTTCAGGTGGGAGACCTATCTCCTCCTCGGCCTCTCTCAGAGCTGTGTCCACATCATCTCTGTCACTGGGGTCTCTCTTCCCACCCGGGAAACACACCTCACCAGCACTGGTCCGCAGCTGCAGAGACACAAAAGGACTGTTTTACAGCACTGCATGCATAGGCAGCATAGCACAAAGATATAATAGAACATTAGAAATTCAAACATGCTTTACCTCTTTACAGGCTACTCTTCTGTTGTGTTTATTTCTCAAATAATGTTAATAATAATAATGTTCTTTGATTTTCAGAAAACTATAAACCAGCTGTTTATTTAACTGGTTCCAACCATAGGTCCCAACATTTGTATTGTGTTATGCAATGGACTCAATCAGAGACTATTCAACTGAGGCATAATACTCTTATACATTCAGATCAAAACAGTTGACAGCAGGCTCTCTGAGCTGAGTACACCCACAGTTGACCCTCACTTGTTACCTCTTTTGATCGCAGGGTCATCATGGTGTGCAACTCTCCATTCTTCACCATCAGTGGGATCAGCACTGAGGCTTTGGGTAGCACCGGTAGAGAAGATAATTTGTTCCCGATGTCAAACTGCTCTAAAATGGCTATGATGTCCTCTTTAACATGCATTGTAGCAGATGTTTCAACGCAGAAACAGAGTGGATGACAGGAAAAAAAGACTAACGGACAAACTATGTAAAAATGCTCGAGTACAGCATGAAACTGCGGGTTGTCAGGTCCAACGGAGTCTAAACAATCAAATATTAACTAGTGTCTGGTAATCAGTAACTATGCAGCATGCAATGAACAAGTTAGTTTATCATAAATAAAACTTGAAATAAAACTGAGGTCCATTCGTCCCACATATTCTACGTCACACGGTGGACTGATAAGCTAACGATAGCATGAGGAACTGCTAACATGGTATCTGGGATAACAAATGTAACTAACTAAAATGTCTTTAAGAGTCATTTCGTGACTTCCCGTATGTCATTCGACAGGTAAGTCAAATATATCACTTCCGAGACGTGAGTAGACTACTGTACCTCGAGGCCGAGAAGTTTCATAACAACCAATCGTCACAGTGTGCGACGAACACAGCCAGTTAGCCACAAGCATTGTAGTGACGAATTTGACGTCGATTTCACATTTGCATCTCAAAAGTAAAAAACGAGTCTCATAAATAGGAATGCAAAGAGTATCACATGGATAGAAGCCACAGTTAAGTATTTTAACATAAATATAACTTCAGGGAAAAGTGAAAAAATACAATCTCAAAACTAAGAATCAAGGTTTCACAAGATTTGTATTGCTGTAAACAGGTCTTCGATGAAAGCATGAATAAAACATAACGTTACAGTAGGCCTACATTCCAAGTCAGTCATATTATGGCATAATGAGAGGAAATATCTGCATTATAAGTCAAAAAAACATTACAATGAATTGAAGGCTACTTACATTTGACTCACAGCTCACTTAACATAAAAGCCGTAATTAGCCTGAGACTTGTGACTTGAACAAATAAATTACATTCTTCTATCCATCTCAAAGATAAGACAGCAGGCAGTCTATACACATGTAAATAAATAAATAAAAATTTAACAACCAAAATATGTGTAGTATACATAACTGATCCCATGTATTTTAATTAAGGGACAAAAAGTTCTAAGTTATTTACAACCCACATGTCACATTTTGTGGATTTGTATGTAGAAAAATAAATAAGTTTCAAAACACAGCAAAGCTAATGATGGGCATCACAGTGGTCCGAGTCTTCATTGATATCAGCCATCGCCTCTCCAGCACTTCTGCTCACACTTTGTACTTCTCCTTGGCTTGATCATTCAGTATACAGATGTGCTGTGAACGGGTAAAATAAATCAGTGGACAGTGCATGTTTTTTCATTACATTCTCTGCATAGAAATCACCTCTGGCTGGCAGAGAACTCTCTGCTCCATAGTTTCTCTTGGAATAAAACCACATTGTACATTTATATAATCTGTTCTATATTTAATAGTCTACCTGTCATATATTTATGTACCTGTATATATGTATGTATACATAATACCTTGTTAATTCAACATGTATATTTTCTACTTTCTTGTTTATTTTTAGTCTTTGAATTTTTATTGTACAATGCCATGTCTTTTTTATGCTGCTACAACACAAACATTTCCCAAATTGGGATCAATAAAGTACTATCTTATCTTATAGTTCATCATTTGGGTTTTTATTTTTTAAAATTTGACTTTTTGTGCAGTTGCTAGATACAAGTGATGGCACTGAGGTCACGTCCTGTTTAATTTGTACTGCTTGAAATGTACTTTTTCTAAGATTTAAAAAAAAATAATGATAAAGTGTTTGGTATCACTCCATCACAATACATTAAAAACATGCTTGATTTCAGCCAGCTGATAATGGAAACTATTCTTTCAACAAAACAGTTAAACTAGTTTTGCATTTTGAAACTGCTAATATATTATACTATGAGAATCAGTGAACAACTGTATACGATTAAATGATAACATGGCATGGGTTATCTGTCCTCATACCCCTTATCTAAAATCATCTACACCAGCAAACTTACACTGAGATCTCTGAAGTACTCATTGTAGTCCAAAGCATAGCCCACCAGAAAGGAATCTGGCACCTCAAAACCAATATCTGAAATAAAAACAGACCATTACTACCACTGTGAGGCACATAAAAAAACTGCTTATTTCAAGTGCAGTGGAAGTTAAACTCTCTCAACTCTACTCGCTGATCTAAAATGAGATGTGGAAACATTTACTGTGGTCTGAAACTCTGTGGTGAACTAATAGATGTTGCTCTTTTAATGTCTCTTTGAGGTTGTACTTAAGCTGTCACAGCCAGTGGGAAGTCAAAATGCTTACAGTAACAGCTGTCCTTAAGGGACAATCTTAAGGGGATTATACAACACAAACCTAAAAGCATTACATAATCAGAGACGGTGTGAGCAGGGGGTTATCAGGAATGCATTAGTGCATAAGTGCCAGGCTCGGCTACATTTGGAGTACATTTTCCGGAAATAACTGTTAATCCTGCATGGAAAAAACAGTTTGATTAAATAACACTTCTCCAGCCCTTCCAGCAAACAAACATACAGCTCTGAAAAAAATTAAGAGACTACTGCAAAATTATCAGTTTCTCTGGTTTTACTATTTCTAGGTATGTCTCTTGATTTTTTCCAGAGCTGTTCGTGTGAGCATAGCATGATCACTGCCATACAATACTAAAATCCATAGTTAACTTAGTGCAAAGCGAGGCACTCACAGTCTGGTCTGTACCCTGAACTCCTCGGGGTCCTCTTCACCAGGAGGCTACAATTACAAACAAGGAAAATACAGGATATAAAAAACAAAGGCTCTGTAAAGGGAAATTGACATGCTAAAAAGAAAGAACAATTGTCACCACAACATATTCAGTGCAAGTTTTAAACCTGACTGATTGGTACACCCTCACTACATCTTAATTAATGCCTGCCACGGTTCAAGATCAACCTCTTTGTGTGAAGCTTATTTTACACGTGTGGATGCAGAGTAAAGGCTAAGTGGGGCCAATGAATAGAGGTTGCCTGTCCTAAAGCTTAACTCACAGAAAGAAAGCGTTCTGTGAGAGTGAATGATTGTCTTTCTCTATGCTATATGTGTGTATGTTAGTGGCCCTGACCTATCAATGGTCTACTTTGCATCTTGCCTAATGTCAGCTGGGATTGGCTCAAGCTCCTGCAAAGTATAGGCGGTTGTAGCAAAGGGATGTTCTTTCTGGACGTGTGATCTGAGCTCAACAGCCCTATCATTTTACATAAACAAGGTTCATAATAGTCTCAGATATAGCTGTTTACTGTATTTTCACATAGACTTTAAGCTTTTGAAATATAATCCTTCAATTATTTTAGCACCACAATTACAATTTCATTCAGCGCTGTTGTTTTAGTGTGGCAGCAGAAATGTGAGCAGAAGTTGCACAGCCTCAGCAGGAAGAGGAACTATCTGCATGGCGTGATACCACAATGACTAAGTAGAATAATTGTTTTTTTTCAGTGTTTGAACTGAGTAAACTTGCCATTTAAGAATTGTATTCATAGTTCAGATAATAACTGTTATTCAGCAACATATTTGCTAAGTATAATTATAGGCTGAACATTAAATCAATTCAAATGAGCCTACCAAGACAACTAATTTTTATGCAAGCATCATAGGAAACCCGCGTTACTTCAACACATTTCCTGTTTCAACCAGCTGTCGGAAATACATCAGAGAAATGGCCTCTACCGCCACAGTGCAGTTAAATTAGTGCGACAGATTAACTCTTAAGCTGCTCCCTCCCTCCGTCACATTACATCTCTAATGCAGTCCTAAAGGAGAGTGTCCATTAGACATGTTACAGTGGAGGTATACAACTTGGTCTGTAAAGTGTCTAACGGTGCCTACCTTACAACTTTAACCATCTTGGGATTGCATTCACTCAGCAGGGAGAGTAGCGTCTGCATGGTTCTTCCTGTCTCCACGATATCCTTTTTATAAAGCAGGACACAGTAATTGGTTACATTAGGGTGGAGGCAAACACACACAAAAAAAATCAACTCAGTATAGAGCCTCAATACAGAATAAAGAAGAAAAGGTCTTACCTCGACAATCAAAACATTCTGTGGGGGAAAAAGGACAGTAGATAAGCTATGCAATTATATAACGTGTGCAGTTGAGGTATTTCTGTCTGAAAAATCAACAGTAGACCAACCTTGCCTGAGAGACTGGACAGCTCATCCCCTCCTATGACTTTGACACTGTTTGTTGACTTGTCGTTCTGGGGAATACAAAGCAAAAACAACATTATCCATCTCAGTGAGTTTACAGATCCGATCCTTATTACATAAAAAGGCTGAACAATTCCTCTTAATTAGGTTGACATTATTGTGGTGCTCCAGAAATGTCACTTATTGTATTCTACAGGGGAAAAATATATATATTTGATACAGATTCAGACATTTACAAATGTGATCATTGTAATTTGAGAGGGATGATAAGAAATGATCATTCCCTCCAATATAGTGAATTATATCACAAACGCTTTGAATACTGCAGAGGAGATTGTTCTCATTTGTATCGCACACCTCACATCATCAGAATTGGTTCTTGGTAATTAAATGAGCAAAGGCAGCTTACACGGTAACTCTTCACCCTGATGAAATCCACTGTCAAGGGGACTGATTTATCGCTGTTCTGGTTCAGGGCTTTGATGTAGTCCAGCAGGTCTGCGAAGAACTTGTATCCTCCTTTTAGCACACACAGAGCTACGATGTGATGTCCCCCCATGTCCTGGATAATATCCCGGGCTAGACGCTCTGTCCTGGGTGTGGTAGGTGGTAAACACAATAGAGAAGTCAGGGAGGGAGAGGAGGAAACAGTAAATTAAAATTCAATGGTGACTGCAGTACAGTATTGGCCGAGGGGATATGCCTTACATGAAATTGCACTTAAACCTAATTGCCTACAATGCATTTCACAGCACTGCACTGGATTCAACCCCAACCTCCCAAATCCACATTCAAATAAGCTTCAGGATGTGGGCTACAGTGATTTGTCAAACAAATACAGTAAAGTGTACTTAGCACAAACCAGTATGTGTGTGTATCAGAGAGCCTGACGACTTAAGAGAAATATGACTTGTTTTCATTGTATGGGGGATTTACCTGTCCATGATGAGTCCATGGGGGATGATCACCTTTTCCAAATCGTTCTCATAATGTCTGGGGACGCAGAAATGGTCCAGATCATAGCCTTTCTCATCATCAGCGATCTGGAAGAGGAAGAAGCAGCCTCTTTAACAAAAACGTTTGGCACTGACAGATAACGTTTGATCACAGTGAAGCCTCTCGGCCACCTGTTTATCCCCGCACACACATGATTTGCAATGTATGGGACATCAGACGCTCATGTGGCGGAGCGAAACACTTAAATAATGATTGCAAAGCTAATGCCACCTGCCGTCTATCAAACAAGCCTACGGTGCAGAACCACACCCTGACAATTAACAAGTTAACAAACAAACACCCCAAACCCAGCAGCCTCACCTCGAGGAACGAAGCCATGTTGCCGTGTTGTTCAGTCGCAGTGAAATGTGTGAGAAGTCA